TGTTTAAATTATGAAATTGAAATTTAATCCATAGATTAGATTCGATAGAACAGTAAGATTAATAAAACATTGCTTTTCAAAGTATAGGAAGAGATAATAACGGATAATTATTAGCATTGTTATAGAAACATATAACGAGACTTTAAAAAGACGGATTAAATTTCAATCTAATACTTAAACTATCAATTCTCGTTATATGAAATTCACATATTTTATCTATTGATTATTCATTTCTAAAACAATTATATCCAAAATTCGTATTACAATATATAATATAATATAATACTTTCTCTAAAACGCGTGTTGAATTATTTCGTATAGGACTTTCATAAATTAACTGAATTATATACTTTAATAATGGTAACACATACATATACATATACTTATATATTCATGTATATATATATATATGTATATTTACGCACGCACATTAAACAACAATAATCACGTATAAAACGCAATTAATTTGACAGCGCAGGGTTAGTACGTAAAATTAATATATATATAAATAGTATGATGAGAGTAGTAGTAGTAGTAATAGTATAGACAGAGCGTTTCATGGACAGAGGCACAATTAGCACACCCATGTTCGACAGGATAGAGCGATACAATTAGAAATACACACAGACAGTATATTGTATATATGTATATATATATATAATATTAATATATATCACGCGTGTATATATGTATACATATGTACATACATCGGCTGTACTGTTATGTTGTTAGTAAGTAGTATGAATAATAGTAGCAGTAGCAGTAGTAGTAGTAGTGGTAGTAGTAGTAGTAGTAGTAGTAGTAGTAGTAGGAATTATTTGTCATGTCATCAGCGATACATATAGAGAGAAACACAATAAAGCGTCATAGTCCTTGGATAATTTGCGTCTTAGGGTAGGAGGTCAAATTTTGTATAAAAAAGAGTGAGGCAGTATATATATATATAATATGTATATAATATGTATATAATATCATCATAATCATCATCATCATCATCAACAAAAAAGCAAAGGTGCACAAAGAACGAGAGGGGAAGGGATAGCAAAAAATTTATCAAACGCAATTCAAATCAAACAGGGTGGGGGGGGGGAAAAAGGGGATAAGGTATTTGAACTGGGAAACCAAAGAAGTGAGAGATAGAAACCCCTTTCAAAAAAAAAAAAAGAATATATATAATGAATACATTAATATTCATGAAAAAAAAAAAAAAAGATAAAAAAAATTGTAATAATCAAATTAATATCGTCGTTTGTCCAGTCTGACAATTTTAATATGACTTACCCGTCGTGCTTTACTTTGGTACTTGAGTGCTTTTTTGGTGTCCTGGGTAGCGGTTTGAACATAATCGACCGCATGTTCAACGTGATATTCTATACGGTCAATCATCTCACCCTGTATATGACAAGACAAAATGACAATCGGTTATATTAAAGATAAATATCATATTTTAGAATAAATTATTAAATAATTGAAGTATTTATGTGGTACCTGACTTTCCACCAACATGGCCATGTCCATGAACATGTCGTGCAATTCTCTGATCGAGTTTTCAAGTTTTATAATATCAGCGTGACGTGCCTCAATGTCTGCAAGGGTTTGTTTTGCTTGTTGCGTTTCCATGATGATCTAATGATGATGTTGATTTTTTTTTAAAAAGTAAAAAACAAATAGAAATAAAACAAATAGAATAAATACAAATAACTTGAAAAATTCAAAGAAGGAATGTATTTTTTTGTTTTGTTTTAATTTTCAACAAGGAGGATTGTTTAAACGACACTTGTGATTCATTAATTATTATAATTATATTTATGTATATATATATATATATATATATATGTTACTGTCAAAGTCGCAAATCAGTCATTGCTAGTAATTCCTTGGCATAACTATGAATGAAAAGAGCCTTCAGACGAAGTCGGAAATAAAACATTTTGGAAAGTTTTTCCTAAGCATCGAACATAATACTTTGATATCCTATAGCATTTACAGTATTGCATTCTCTGACATTTTATGAATATTTGCAGATCGATTTATAACTCGGCATGGTATTCTACGCGTAGACAAAAGGGTTGTACTTTAATTTAATATAAGTTTCATTAAAACATATTAATTTTTAGTAGAAAAAATATTTAGCGAAACTTTTCAATAAAAATTGCAAAAATGCACAATTTACAGCATTGCAATCTCTGATATTGTGTGATCGTATGGCTGCGTTTGTCTGTGTCTGAGTATGTATTCTTTTCAATGTTGTTTAACCCTTTGGCCTATAACCACGAGTCAGACTCGTGGTGAAAAATTTGTGCCATAAGCGAAAACCACGAGTCTAACTCGTGGTAAAGAATTTGTGCCATAAGCGAAAACCACGAGTCTAACTCGTGGTAAAGAATTTGTGYCATAARCGAAARCCACGAGTCTAACTCGTGGTAAAGAATTTGTGCCATAAACGAAAGCCACGAGTCTAACTCGTGGTAAAGAATTTGTGCCATAAACAAAAGCCACGAGTCAGGCTCGTGGTGAGGAATCGGTGCATAAGATGCCGCGTATTATTCGAACAAGCGATTGGAGTTATTCCACATCCAATACTTTTTCTTTGATTGTTACGTCAATATTTTGTTTTTTCATTCGTTTTTGGTGCAACTGGATGGTCTGTTATTTTAGTTCCCCGTAAAGATTCGTTACGTTCACACGTTTCAATTCTAGCTTCGTATAAAGAATTCAGAAACTGTTAATACCCATCATGCTAAGAAGAAGGAAATCTAATATTGATGGTTGTGGGGTGGAGGGAGTGCGGCACTATTGCCGAGTGTGATTCGATATATTATTTTTTTTTGTTTTTTTTTATTATGTGCCGCGTAAAAGTGTTGTGTTCATTTATCTATCCTGTCCAATCTCACTCATTCCAGCGTTAAACTTTTTATTAGAACTCATTGGGAGATATTCGACCATTTTCTGGTCACCTATATAAATGCTAGAAACATATTATTTGTACTTAAACATTGTTTTTATTATTTCACAACTCCTTTCATTGCTCTGAAAAACATATGTCATGAAAGTTACACATTTTGCGCCAGTTCAAGTACGCGGCTGAACAGATGAATGGCACAACGCGCGACCGATTCTTTTGTTTATTATGGCACGCACAATTGGCAGATATCGTGTAGGCCAAGGGGTTAAATAGTAATTTGATATTCTATAGAAAATCAAAGTATTATGTTCGATGCCTAAAGAAAAAGTGGAAGAATTTTTCAATTTCCGACTGCGTCTGAATGCTCTTTGCATTCATAGTAATGACGAGGAATTACTAACAATTTTATTTAGTATTTCTCTCGTCCAAAAATTACAATTTTTAATGATAAAATTTAACAGGGAACTTGGACATGAAAGAAGTAGAACTTAGTTTGATTTAGTTGGACGTTTCGTCCCTTTATTGGGACTTCTTCAGCAACTTAATCTTTACAGTTCAGCGTCTTTTTTCATTGAGTAGACATACAGTTTTCTTTTTATTAATATTCAAAAATGTAAAGATTAAGTTGCTGAAGAAGTCCCAATAAAGGGACGAAACGTCCAACTAAATCAAACTAAATTCTACTTCTTTCATGTCCAAGTTCCCTGTTAAATTTTATCATTAAAAATTACTAACAATGACTGATTTCCAGCTTTGACGGTAACATATATATTTAATTTATTCGTGTTAAACGAAATTGTTTAGACTTTTGGAGAAATGAAGGAAAAAACAAAAAAAAAAAAGTAACAGAGATATAGAATCATAATAACTCTCATAGATAAATTTGTATATAATCGTACCCCTTGCGTGAATACCGCTGGATTTCCTTGCTCCAACATTTCTTCGAGTTCATCGTTGGTGGTCGTCCTCCCCGCTAAAAATGGAAGCCTTTATTGGTCGATGAAAAGAGGGTTGAAAAGAAGTAGGGGGGGGGCCGCAAGTAGTAGAGAGGCGCTCGTGTTCTTTCAACGAAACAAAAAAAAAAAAAAAAAAAAAAAAGAAAACAGAACGTACGTGAGCAAAATTATTAAACAAACGCGAGATAATTTACACTTTCGCACACGCACACAAGTTCACGTTTAATATTAATTATTATCTGTATCCACGATTTGAGAATATAATCGTTCATTTTTTTATTTTATTAATCGTTTAAGGGGTTACATGGGTTTGGGACTTTCAAAAAAATTTTTTTTTTTCAATTCTACAACTCATCTATAATATTGTATTCAATTTT